CGCGTTTACGGCCCGTCGGAGCCTCAAACAATGACATGGTCAGTGTCCTCCGTTCTAAGGTGGGAACGCGCAGTGAGTTGACTTCGCAAGGTTTAGCGTTTATAGGGTTATTGTGTTTACTAAGGTGGGCTTGGGGGCCCTATAGAAATCAACTTTTTATGACTTTATAGGGATATTATTGGGATGAAATTTAAGGGATTAAATACGAAGCAAAATATGTTCAATCATGTTCCTTAAACCCTAATCCCCTAAACCCGAAGCCTACCCCTGTTTAGGGCTAGGGAATAGCCACAATCCGCTTCTTCAGAAAAGGCTTTTGTTGGCCATAGAGCTAGAAAGGAGAAAGACGGCTTCCTAAAATTGGGGTTGCTTTTTTTTTTTGGGGGGGGGGGTCCCAACAATAAAAAATATAGTATTTTGGGGGTCTATATTATCCCCCTATTTTTGGGAACTACCAAATAGAACTCTTGAGACAAGCTCTAGACTCTAGATAGGCTGACACATCCTAAATTAGCCTGAAAAGCCTGAAGCAGCCATGCATGTCAATCGTTTTGTGGATTTCTTTGGGTGCCCCCAGTAACCATCAGACCCTGATGTTTAGATCATGTTACTAAACGCGATGGCAGTCTTTGGGGTGCCCCCAGTAACCAGCAAACCCTGATGTTTAGATCATGTTACTAAACGCGATTGCAGTCAACTTAAGATATTCTGCTCTGCACAGAGTGCTACGACTGAAGCATTCTTATTTGACTGGGACAATGATTTCATACAACATCTCAATATGACAGCAACGTGTTGTATGTCAACATTTCATCCTTCAGGAATGTCCCAAAAAGTAGGCTGTCCATTTGCAATTTCAGACTGAATGGATCAGCCCTCAGGGTTTACGGTTTAGGTCCAGATCCCAAGGAGATTTTGGGATCAAGGACCCCCAGACCACAACAAACCTGCCAGGAAGCATGACGCGACCTAAACATTGGAGCCCCGCACTTCCACGACCCGAGCCATAGAGCCCAAGCCACGGCCCCAAACCTGATATCTGAACCTAAAAGCTGACCCAAAGATTAGGGTTTAGGGTTTAGTCCTTAAGCCCTAAATCCAAGCAAGGTAGTAGCTAAGGAGGACCCCACACTAATGGTGATCAAAAGGGATCATGGCGGTTACGCAGATAACGGTGGCCTTGTCCGGCTGAGCTTCCCACTGCAGGAGGAGGCACTCCGTGCAAATGAACCGCAGGGACCCTGAAAAGAATGGAATCCAAGGGCCCACAAAATAGCGTTTAGGGGCCAAACAATCGAGCATACAGAGTATGATTCTGATGTGCATTCATTGTCGTTTCACACTAAGCCCTAAGCCTTATACCCCTAAACTCTACACCCTCAGCCTCTCAGTATTCAGCCCTAAACCCTAAATCCCTAAACCCTAAATCCCTAAACCCTAAATCCCTAAACCCTAAACCACTAAACCCTAAATCCCTAAACCCTAAATCCCTAAACAGCCTTGGGCCTGCTGAGTCTACTCCGAGCATCTAAGGAATTACCAAGGGAAACTACAGGGATTATAGGGTTCTATAGGGTTTTAAAGGGAGTATATAGGGACTACATCGGGCTTTGTAGGGGTTCTATACGGACAATGGACAATAAAATGGAAAATACTACTTAGGGTTTAGGATTAAGGATTTAAAGTTTTTTGTGCAGCGCGCCTTTTCCGGGATTTAAGGTTTAGGTTTAGGGTGTTAGGGGCTTAAGATTTGGTGTGAAGGGTTTCGGGATTTAGGGCTCAAGGTTTTAGGGGATTTAAAGTTTGCAGTTTTGTTCCTACATCCCATAGCAAGCACCACCACATCTTCGCCAACAAATTATGGACTCATAAAAACAACAGTGCGTGTAACTCTGTCGTGCCGAGAAGCTGGGGATGGAGCTCTTGTGAGAGTACTACAGGGGCCTAAATTATTACCAATGTCACTTGGACATCGTTTAGAAGTGCCTATGTCTGAATTGCACAAAGAACCTGAGACCCTAAACCCTAAACCGATTCCTAAACCCAATATCAGTAATCTTAAGACCTTGTGTAGATTGTAGGATCTCGGTGGGGGAGGGAGACCGCTTGTAGATCTTCGATCAGAAATTTGCGAGGGGAGGTCACATGAAGTGACCGTTCAAGTGCTTTTTAGGTATTAGGGTTTAAGGTTCAGGGTTTCTGAAGAATCTGATAGGCCTCCCCAATATACCTGGGTACATTAAATCAAGGCTTGGATGTGTAGACAGAATTTTAGATCAAAGTTACCTCTTGAACCTCCCTTATATTGCATGACCTCAACCAACTACTATTTAGTCCCAAATTCCATCCCACTTACTCAGACCCTTAACCCTAAAACCCCACATCCTAGACCCTATTTAACCCTGAATCCCAAACCCTAACCTCTAAACCCTAACCCCCAAAAGCCTAAATCCCAAACCCTAAATCCCAAACCTAGCCCTAGACCCTGAACGAAATCCCTCTTTAGGGACTTCCAGGGTACCTCGGCAAGCACAGCAGCTGTCGAGAAGCTCCGAGGAGGTTCCGCCTGCAGGCTGTTTTTAACGACTTGATCAGTATCAGTTTAGGGGCTTAGGGAATTATATAGGGTTCAGGGTTTAGGGTCTAAACTCCTTAAAGGGGGTTATGTAAGGAATTATATAGGGTTTAGGGTTTTAGGGTTTAGGGGTTTAGGGCATGTTCCATTTTAGGTAGACCCACCCTGCAACAATGATATACTAGGAATATAAGAGGACCCTTCTATAATCACGATTATCCCTTATAGTCATAATTACTGGGTGGGGGGTCCACCTAACCAGAATCATCATAAGATCCACCTATACCCCATGTTCTATCCACTTGAGGGAGACTAAATTTAGACGTGTCTCTTCTTCATGTTGGGGGTCCGCTTCAAAAGGCGTTTAGGGATGCGATATGTAGATATGCTATGGAGATATATGGCATTTGGGATTTCAAAGGTTCCGCCGAAGATTAAAGTGCACTCAAACAGCAGCTTCTTCCTGACTCCATATTTGATAGGGAGAGAGCATACCTCTCGGCGGAACAAGCCGAGGTTCCGAAAGCCATCGTACATTTTTGAACCCTGGAGCCTTCTTTGCTGCGATTTTCGGATTCTAGATGCTTAAGCCCAAGCCGCTAATCCGCGTGGTGTCCTGTTGGAATGCACATCGTGGCCCCTCCCAACACCGACAATTGTTGCTGAAGCCACAACAATTTCAAAACGATTGGGTGCATAAGCTGCCACCGGCAAATAAAGACATTCTAAACCTGAACCCTATAAAACCCCTAAATAGTAGCTTCCATTTTATTATCCCAATATAACCCGAATATTACAGGGTGGTGGCTAAGGGCTTGGGTTGCGAAGGTTTAAGGTAAGGTCTTATCACGGACCCCGAAACAGCCTTGACCACTGGATGCTCAGACCTCTAGAACTTCAGAAAGACAACAAGACTTCAACCAAAAGTAAAAAACTTAAGGC